CAAAACATGGATGCTCTAAACAAATAAAACTTAGAGGTTGACTTACATATATCTCATCTTTAATTTCTATATTTAAAAATTCACTCTTTAAATCATTTTAATATAAAATATTTTTTTTATGAAATACATATATTAGCAGGATTATAGTGGCATCTAATCTACTTATTGGTAATGGGTTTCATCATAATCTATTCTTATTAGAGTGTATCTTTGAGATACTAATCACTCTGAATCATTGCTAATATGGGATATTAAAAATACTATATAATATTGAAAAAGCTTTCTAAGGATGCTAGAAGAATAAAACTATTGAGAATATCTAGGACAAACCATAGAGAGTTGACCAAATTAAGGAAGATCATGAGATGACTATAGTTGACTTTCCAATAAAGAGTAAGGTAAGAAGATAGAAGAGGGTTATCTTTGATGTATTAAGAGGGAAATGGATGAAACCTAAATAGATGAATTTTTAATCAACAATCAAAGGAAAATTAGGGAGATGATGCCATCAATAGATTGTTGAGAGTGATAAATTATCTAAACCATAATGTGCATAACAAAAAAATTCTAACCACTCTAAATCACCTATCTCCTAAGAGATTGATAGATATGTAAAAGAAAACCCTAATATACTCTTATCTATTATCCTAATCCTATCTCAATTCTTCTCAACCCTAAAACCATGCTCAATCTTGATAGATAAAGAGAGCACTAAATCAAATGGGAAAGGGATGAAATTGTAACCTACTGTACTCTATATCTATTATTCTCTCACTCAATTCTAAGTGGGATAAATTTTGAAAAGTCAAGAGATCCATAAGAATTGAGAAAATGAGAAGGAATAGATGGGGATGGATCAAACCTAAAGTTCAATCTTAGTGTCACTATAAGAGATCCTTAAATCTAACTTTTACTTACCTTCTAAGAATGTCTAACTCTTTCTCACTAAGATGATCATTTGAAGAGGGGATACAAGAAATGAAATATGGTTTCATTGACATAAAACATAAAAGTACGTGAAATAACCATAAAATTAGAGTACAATGCCTTCTTTGTTGACCCTTGGAGTGCTTTAAGGGGATATGTCATCAAGTGTTCTTGGATGTGCCTCATTTGGTGAAGTTCTTAGACTTAGTTTTCTTCCTTTAGGTGTCTCCTCTCTCAAACAACGAATGTCATTTCTCTCTCCTTCTCTAAGCTTTTATACACTTCCTCTAAGCTGCATTCTCAGCCCTTACATCCTCTTCAAGCATACACAACTGTAAGATCTCTCACCCACCCCTTGGGAAAATTAACTAATTAATAAGTTGGCTATGGAAGAGAGAGAGTGGAGGTGACAGTCGAAATTCAGCCATTGCCTAAGATGTAGAAAATTCTGTGAAAATAGAGAAATATTCAGAAAAAACATTTAAAATTCATTTAAACTTGAAATAAAACCCAAAAATTCAGAAACATAGAAAAATCCCAGAAAATCAGGAAAATTACCTTCAAATGATAGTTTAGACATCAAATGGCATTCATTTTATAATTAATATTTGATCGAAGGATATGAATAAATAAATAAATGCTATAAAAATATAAAATTTCAAAAAATTAAGCATGTATTTTGAACATTTATCATAAATGAAACTTCACTTATTTTATGCATGATTAAATATTACCTTTTATGAAATTAAGCACTAATTTTCTAAATTATGCCATACTTGACATGTAGAATTTGCATGTCATGAGGCCCTAGTATAGCCTTATTTCTAACCATTTTTCTTCCAATACTTAAGTAATCTATAATTATCTATTTTGTTCTTTTGAACAACATTATTATTTTCCTATGTACTAATTTCAAACCTTACTTTTATCAAACTAATTAAATTCCTCAATTAAAGCATTAATCTGATTTCATCATCTAAAACTTTGTCTACATTTTTGGCTGAATTTTAGAAATTAATTCAGTTAAATTTGGCAGATTTTTCAGTCACGATCTAGTTTGTAGTTATTTCTTACTATCCCCTAAGATTTAATCTCCTAAATGACTCTCAACATATTTTCTTTTTCTAGCAAGGGTTTCTTTCCTAGAATTTTCTCTAACTTATGGATCCTAACATCATCATTGATCAAAATTTCTTGAAATTCAGTCTCCAATATTTCTTCTCATCATCATTAGAGATTTTTCTCATTTTTGTCAAAATTTTTGAAATTTATTGTTTCCTCTAAAACTAAGATTATTTTATCCAGAGTTTTCATAATATTTTAGAACAATTCCTTCATCACACCTAGGATCAAAATTTTCTATTTCTTCCTGATCATTTATGAGAATAAAAGAGTTAAATCCAATAAAAGATTGAAAGTAACCAATATTTAGTTTCTTTTTCAACAACTCATAAAAAGTTTTCTTCTATATAGGTTAAATCATGATCCTATTCATGATGAAGCATGTTGTATTGTTCTCTACCACCATTATACTCGAAATGTATAACAATGTCTTATCTTTTTCTCAACAACTCTATACTTTTTAGGTGTTCTAGCACTCTTGAAATCATGGATTATTCTTTCCTCATCAATTTTTTTTAAATTTAAAATTCTCATCCATAACCACTCATAATCCTCTTGATCCTCAAATCCATTTCATATTCTACCTTCTTGCTAAATTTCTTGAATTCCTCAAGTGTCATCTTTATTCTCTAATAAATATATCGATATAAATCTTTAATAATCATTTAATATCACAAATTCATATATTTCTCCACCTAATGTAGCCCTCTTCATTGAAAAAGATCCATGTGTAATAATTCTAAAGGTTAACTCGTTGTGACTATTTCTTTTGGCACGATGGTCAAGTTGACACCTTAAATCATGATCTCAATATACAAAATCATCAATTTAATGCTTTAGATCATTAAATATAATTTGAAAAATAATACTTATTAATATTCATAAAATTATAAGCAATAGTATAAGTAGTTTGTATTAGATCAATTATTTAATACTAAAATTAATATTTAATTCACAATCTATCATGACTAGTATCTATTACATTAAATTATCTTTCATACCAATAACTTACCCTATGAATTGTTGCTGATTTTGAAGTGCTGATCATTACTTTTCTTAGTTGTAGTTTCTATAAATATTAGTGTTTTTCACATTAATATGTAAAGTAATATTTTGGATTGATAAAATCAAATAAATTATGGAATTCAATATTAATAAGAGTCACATGAAAATTTTGAATTCCAAATATTTTAAATTATTGTCTTGAATTCTTCCTAAATAAATTATTGATTTATATTCATGCGCAAGGATAATGAATTTTTATTTATAAATCAAGTTCATGGACATCAAAGATGGTTTGATCTTTCAGTTGGTCTTATGTTAAAAATCTTTTTTACTTGTGCATCCTGGGATCCTTTGGTGACATACGACTCCAGAACTTTATCACTTTGTAGAGGTTTAATTGTGTTCAATTTCAATCAATTTTTAGGCATTCACCCTCAACTTCACAAGTATCTTATGAATGATAGTTTGGTAGATGTGGCTCCCCTCTCTCTTTACTTTTCTTCATGGGATTAACTCTTATTTATATATACTATGACTTAGACAAGAAACATTATTTTTGAAATATTAAAGACATCTTTAATGCAATTGTTAACAGAAAGTTGTTTAAAGAAAAAACTTAACCTTGACAATTTAATATCAATTTAAAACCACTAATTTATTTGTAACTGTTGAAGCATTGCATTTGCAGTTAAGTAATTTTAGGACAAGTATTCAATGCCCATAGCTATGAGAATAACATAGCTGAAAGTTATTGTAAAGATCAGTTACTAGTTCTATCCTTATGACATAGAGTCCATAACCATCATATATATCATTTATTGATCTTTGATTTTCAAGGCAATAAAAAATAGGTTGGGATTGAAAGCTGCGGAAAATTCACCTATGGTGGTTCTTAGGATGTTTAAGAATGTTGTTAGGAGCTTTTGTTATCGTACATTTGACATATTTTATTTTACTTTATTTATAATAAGGAAAAAATTATGTCTCATGAGTTCAGTTTAAGTGAATTATATTCATTTAAAATTCTATCACATATTGACTGCATAACCCTTGAGTTAGGTATCATTGAAAAATTCATAGCTAAGTATGATTATGTGTTTTCAATATTTTGAGTTAAACATCAAGCCATAAGTTGGCAAGAAAAATTTGTGAACGTGGTTTTACTTGCTAATGTGCTTCATTTAACTCTTGCAGTTCCCCCTTAAATGTCAACACTTTAAAATTAATGAACTGTACTTATGATCATGAAATGAGATCTCCTTCAGGTCCTTCAAAGTTCTAGAGTTCAAAACATTTTTACAATGTTAGAAATGGAGTACATAAGAATGAAATCAAACCAGACAGTTTTTTGTCTATGGGAAATGAAGGAATTAGAGATTAGAATGTCTTTCTGGACAATCAGTGGTCATCATTATATTCCTGACTTTAATAAGTTTCAGTAAAAATAAATACAATAGGCTAGATATTATTATCAAGAATTTTTTTTGGGTTATGTCTACTTAAGAGAACTGAACACCCTTGGACCTAACTTGGTTGAGTTACAATAGAAAGTTAAGCTCGAAAGGAAAAACGACCTTTAAATTAAGAAGGGTGGAAATTTTGAGAGACTGAACTATAAAACGTTTGTGGTGAAATGAATGGACGAGTTGTGATGATTTTTACCTCTTATTTAAAACAAGACGTAGACAGTGGTAGAGTAAATTCGATTTCTTTATGATAAGTTATCATGACCAAGGATAATTGCATATGCTTGTGTCTATTGAAAGAATTTAACGGTAACCCAGAGAATCTCACTTCACTGAGACCCCTTCAAGATAATTACAAACCCTGAGAACGGACAAGTAGCATCGTCTTCCTATGCCCTTTGAACCTTGACTGGATCATAAAGACGTATGGGAAGAGATCCATAAACATTAGAAGACCATCAACCGCAGTAAAATGGTGCGTTATCCGTTTCTGCCCTCCGTCCAGCTGCAGCCACGGTCTTTCCCGACGCCCCGCTCGTTCATCAACCCTCTGACGGCAGACGCTCTGTCCCATCTCCCTACCGAAGCGTAGATGCCGGAGAGCAGCACATACGCCGCTGGGCTGCGCCGGTCGCGGCGGATAAGCCTCTCCGCAGCCAGACTCCCCAACTCGGCGTCGCCATGAACTCTGCAAGCGCTGAGAAAGGCCTCCCACACGACGGGATCCTCCTCGCAAGGCATCGCAACTAACAGAGACCTAGTGTCCTCGAGGCGGCCAGCACGGCCCAAGGCGTCCGCGACGCAGGCGTAGTGATCGGGAAGCGGCTCTACGCCGTGCTCCCTCTCCATGGAGTGGAGGATGCCGAGGCCCTCGTCGACCAACCCCGAGTGGCTGCAGGCTGTGAGAAGAGCGAGGAACGTGACGCCGTTCGGGTTCTCCTTTGTTCCCAGGAGGCTGCGGAAGAGCTCCAAGGCTGAGCCACCATCGCTGTTTCTGGCGTACCCGAGAATCATCTCGTTCCAGGAGACGATGTTCCTGACGGGCATGTGATCGAACAGTAGCCGCGCCTCCTCTACGATGCCGCACTTGGCGTACATGCCGATCAGCGCGCTCCCCACGAACACGTCGCCTGCCAGTCCGTTCTTCGCCACCTGAGCGTGCATCTGCCTCCCCCAAGATAACGAGGGCAGCCTGGCGCAGGCGCTGATAATGGTCGCGTAAGAATACTCCGTAGGGACGATCCCTTTCTCTCTCATCTGCTTGAAGAACTCGACGGCCTCTCCACTCCGAGAGGAGAGGGAGAGACCCGAGATCATCGAGTTCCAACTGACGATGTCCCTTTCCATCATTCTATCGAAGACCCGTCTCGCGGTGTCGAGCCGCCCACACTTGGAGTAGAGGTCGACGAGCCCGCTGGCCAGGAACAAGTCCAGGTGAAGCGTCATCCGTGTCGAGGCGGCGTGAACTTGCTGGCCGAGATGTAGAAGACGCTTCCCGGAGCAAGAGCTGAGGATTACGGCGAAGGTCGCGCGGTTTGGTCGGACATTCGACTGCTGCATCGTTCGGAACAGGTCGATCGCTTCGTCGTAGAGCTCATGCCGGGAGTACCCAGAAATCACCGTGTTCCATGAAGCCAGGCTTGGATTCCCCATTTCATCAAACAGGCGGCGGGCAGTTGTAGGATCTCCAATTCTCATGTATATGGCGATTAGAACGTTGAAAGAAACTACGTCGGCTTCTGGCAGGGCCCTGAAGATTTCCAGTGCTTCGTCGATGTAATCGTATTTTGCGTACATGTCAATCAGAGAGTTTCCCACGCGAACGTTCGATCCATACCCTAGTTTTATCACGAGGGCATGAAGCTGCCGACCAAATGTATACCCCGAGGCCCTCGTGATCCTGCCGGAGCTCACCACTTCTCCATCTTCACCACTCCTCGTGCAGGCGACCAGAGCACTAGAGACAGCGACGGCATCTACCTGGATCCCCATATTTGCCATCTTCGGCAATAGCCTCATGGCTTCCGTAGCACAACCATCCTGCTCCAGAGCACCCATCAGAACCGTGAAGGAGACAATATTCGGCAGGGTAATTCCCTCGAACACCTTGGCGGCCGCAGAAGGGTCCTTGCACTTGACGTACATCCCCGCCAGAGCGTTCCCCACATAGGTGTCGACACTCAAATCAACCTTGATGGCGAGCCCATGGCATCCCTCGCCAAGCTCCATGCTCCCCAGGCCTCCACAGGAACTCAAAACGCTGGCGAAGGTGAACTGGGTAGGCAGGAACCCTTCTCTTCTCATCGCGCAGTAGAGGTCCAAGGCCTCTCCCAGCGACCCATTTCGCACCAGAGCGCTGATCACCATGTTCCATGAGATGGCATTTCTCTCTGGTGTTTCCTCTAACAGCTTACGTGCAGAACGAATGTCACCGCTTTGGCAGCGGTAGCTGAGAACGGTGTTCAAGAAGTAGGCATTCCTCCGAGGGATCTCGGAGAAGGCTCTCATGGAGACGAGCCGGTCCGAGGGGAGGAGGCCCCGGGAGAGGCAATGGATGGCAACCTCTCCGCGGATGATCTTTCCTGGCAGCAGGCTGGCCTTGACGATGGAGGCCTGAGGGAGGGCGGTAAGTTGGCTGGCTCTGAAGCCAGAAACGGCCATGAACCACCGTCCAGAGGCCTCCTCCCACGCGGCCACTTGGATCTGCTACGGCGGGGGAGATGATCGATCTGACATCTCCAAACTGCCATTTTCCGGCAAGCCCATGATTCACATCCCCAGCTCGGCTCAGTGGCCGGCTCCGGCATCCCCTACCTGGACCACGGCGCCACCAAATTCCTGGGTCCCGATTTCTCGGAGCTTGACCTTACTCTGCTGTGGTCTGTTATACATTACCTGTCGAAGATCGTGTCCCCACCGAGGATTGGGTTCCGTTGACCCTGTCACAAGAAGTTACTTGTAAAGGGATAAATTTGATTGATGAGAAATAGATGGCCGACAGACATGGAACACTGGTTAATTTAATAGTTCTCACCTCTAGCTTACAACTGTGAAATTCTTAATTTTGGCTTCGCGTAGAACGAACTGATTAATGGGATATTTATGTTTCAGTCTTCTTCTTGGCCAAGGCTAATGGTTGGTGGCTGAGCCAGCCCCTCATCTACCTCCCGTTTTTGCTACATGTTTCTTTGCACACCCATACTGGTGTTCCTCTAAAAGTTCATTTTCAAACTGGGTAGACAAAATGCCATGCAGACACTTATTTCATCGAGTGTTGTATAACCTGAGTTCAACCCTTCCCTTGACAGCTCTCATCACCTCCTTTTCATGCCATTGGCTGTCCCGGGCTGATCTAGGGGCTTCTCTACAGCTCAGGAGGAATTTGCCATGGAACCGGGCTTATGGGCTCTTCTGTAGAGTTTGGTCGGCTCTGGCTTCAGTAAAGTTACCTAGCCTAGTGAATCTTTCAGAATGAACATCACATTAAAACTTTTCATTGCGCTTGGATCTTTACTCGGCAGGAACGGTCGCGAGAAGATGATAACTAGAGACTTTATGGAATGTAGTTGATATGTTCCTAATTGCTTGGGCGCAAGTCTTCACAAGGAGTACATTGGCAAGGGAGGAATAGAACAATTACCCTCTTATTGTTCGCTTATCTATTTATTTAATAGACACTAGAATTATGACTGAGTTGTGACTCCCAAAATCTATTGGTTTCACTCTATCCCTTCCTCGACTCTGCCCATTTATTGGAGATCATATTTATCCTTGCCATTTTTTCCTTGGTCAGATTGGGAAAGAGTTGTTTAAATAGGTATACATTCTCCCTAGAAGCTTCCTCCATCCTAAAGTAAGGTCTGTGTAGAGATCGTGGAAAGCCCTTCCTTCTCATCTGAATTGCAGGGAAGAATGGCTTGTGCAAATTAATAGTGACCAATCCAAAGATTCGATTTCACACATTAGACACTAATAAAATTATTTTGATAATTAGATTAGACTAATAAAAATGTATTTCAACTTGCAACTTATGCCTTTAATAAATAACATGAAGCTTCACACTTTTAAAATCCAACTAGTTCTAAGTTAATAGCCCTTTCTTTTAAGTGGTGTTACTGTTTGCTTAATCTAAGAAAATCCTCTTCACACGTCAATATTTGCCCATTAATTTGTTATGAAAAGGCTTATTAATGTTCAAGTTAGCTGTTATGAAGACTGAAAACTTTCCAAATGTTAGTGGTGAAAATCTGGTCATCGTCGCTAAAATACTTATCAGTCACAATGGTGTTAAATACCTCATCATATTGCATTCCTAAGACTTCGGAACATATTTTTAAAAAATATTATATTCTCTAGGCTTAAGTACGGTTCACAAGACTAAGATGATCATACTTGGGGAATTCGTTTCCAGCTAAAAAAGGTATTGAATTGAGTCTACATGGGTAAGCCTTGGGTAAAACTCACTGGGCAAAGATGACCACATGATTTGAACTGTCACTGAAGCTTGTATGAGGACCAGTGAAGCAATTTTTTTCATACCTTTTACTTAGAAAAATTTAATAATATTTCACCAATTTTATTATCTCATACTTCACACCTTCCCAATAAAAACGTTATAATGCACTATAGTAGCACATTCCCTTGTCATGGGAGAGTTATGAAATTCTTTAATAAAAAATTCTCATTTGAACAAGTTAGATCTGATTTTTAAATGTATATTCCTTCAAGAAGGACATATGTCTTCCAAGTTCCCTCTTTTTCCATTGGTATTATTCCTGTGATATGATTGAAACTCTTCCTAGTATTTGGAAAACCACTTAAAAGCTAGTTTTGGCGTAGTATACCTCTTCCTCTCTTTAGGAGTTAATCACCCCCTCAAATAGAAGACTCCTTATTTACCCTTAGTCACATAATCAAACCCTAAGACCTTCGTATGTTGGGCTAGAGTGAGGATCCTTTGATCCATTTAACACTTTATAATACTTGAGTTAGCTCTGGTTATTAAATTTTTTCCAACTGAATAAGATCTCTAGTTTTCAAAAAATTCTATTATTCCTTATATTTTCCATTCAAAGGTAGATTATGTTTTAATATTTCATGCCTAGCAACCTACTCATGTATTCCATGAGTCAGTTTTCTTAAATGAACTCCACAACTACCCCAACTCTTAATCTACCATACTTGATCACAAAATTTCATACTATCATTTTGTAATTATAGGCTCGTAGATTTTTTATCATTTTTCTAAACTATTTAAGGGGTTAATGGGTTAATGAGCTTTGCTTTTCATGATAAAACCTCTTTCATCATTAGATTATTCAAGGGACAATGAATACGTCCATATTGCTTAATCAAAAAGTTTTGTACCATGTGAAAAAAAGAAACCTCTCAAGAATTTTTATTACTTTCTCTTGGCTGTTAGCATGACATCACTATTTATGCCACAAATGGTCCCATCTTATTTAAGAAAAATGACATTTTGAGTTGTTGACCTCGAGTTGATTTACTTTGTATATTTAAAATATCATCATGAGATCACTAATCTGTTGTAGAGATTACCTTGTGAAAAAAAATGTCATCAAAGATTATGAATGCAAACTTTTGAAGAAATTATTAGAGAACAAAGATCATAAGTTTTTTTAAGGTTGGAGCATTGGTGAAACCTAGAGCCATGACCAATAACTCATAATGACTATAATGAATTTATAAATAGGCCTTAAGTATGTCATTTTCGTTAAGCTTGATTTAATGATATTTTATTTAAATATTAAGCTGAAAAAAATATTAAACATCCTATAATTCATCAATACCATGAGCTAAAACTTACACTTAATCCCTTACTAAATTAAGCTTGTAAGTGATAAACATATGGTTACTAAATTAGCTAAACTTTTTAACGAAGAGCCTAAGGATAAAAATAAGCTAGATTGGCCCCTAAATTCTGCCCTATTGTTGAAACTTTTCAATCAATTTTTATGACTAATTTTCGGATCAGTATTATGAAAACGTTTTCCAGCTAGGATTTTACTTTCATCCTTTAAAATTCTTAAATGTCTTAGAGGAGATATTTCAAATAAATTAAATTTCAACAAAATTTATAGAAAAATTTAAAAATTCAGTGATACAAATGGAAATAAGGAGGTCAAGGTAAAAATAAAGAAACTATAATGAGAGGGGGAATCAAGAGTATGAATGAGACAAGAACTTTCTCCATTCTTTGTCAATATCAATTTTGAAATAGCAGAAATAATCTATTGTGACGTCATCATGTTACTTTAATGTTATTACCTACACCAACACACTCCCTTATGGTATAGTTGAATTAAAGAAAGTAATGATTCTCTCCACGATGATATTCTAGGGATAATGCTTGATAGGGGCTTCACTTTCTGTTGGTCAGCTCTATGACTACAGGATGCTTTTTTGGCAACACAAAGTTTGTGAGATTGTCTTGATATCTTCCATGGATGTCTTCAACATATCTATGAATATATATGCTATAACCTCATTAGCCAGCTCTCAAAAAAGAAAAATGATGCCTATAAATTGACCTCTAGGTCTACTACTATCAAAGATAATTTTGTCTAAATGGAAAGGGTGTGGCGATTAATGATAGCTAGTAAATTAAACAATTAGCAGATGATGTAAGCATCAACTTAAGTGTAAAGTGGAAGAATGGATAAGTAATGAAAATCACTAAATTGTTTTTTACTAATCTCTAAGTACTAGAAAAGTTATAATTTGTATTGCAAAGGTGTTTTCAATTGTTTGAATTAAAACATGGATCACAAAATCAATGCTCTCCTTTGATATGTTTTCAATTTAGAACCATATTGTTACTTTTTTTTCAAGACTAGAATTGTAATAGCATTCATTTTAAAAGGAGAAAGGGTCATTTAGAATTGAATCAAATACATTTTGTAGTATAAAAAATTCCAGAAGACCATTATCCAAAAATAAAGCCATGTAAATTTGTAGTAACTTACTAATAATGTCATATCATATCTTGCGTATTTATTGGTAGGATGTAAGGTACCATCATGTGAGCATCTATCGACCTGCTCACTCATTAATGTATATTTATATATATTGTGAAAATATATGTACCTCTTTCCTGGTTAAGAGGATCATTCCATTAAGCAATGCAGGCCAGAAAAAAGTCTGTGCTGTCCACCACACCAGATTCTTGCTAAAGAAGAACACCTTTAGTTTTTATTCTCCTCATCCTGAGTCTAACTTGGAATTTCACACACCTCATCATGTCCACTCCCATCAGATCCCGACGACTATCTTCTCACAGAGGTTGGTGAAAGGTTGTCGGACCTTGTACGATACTGTCTCATATTCCATGTGCCGTGCTCCAGATCTTGTTTTCCTTCCAGTGTAAGATGCCGTTTATCTGTTTATTCTGGATTTTGACCGTTCGGCTGATGTCATTTCGTATATAGGGATTTCCAGATAAAGCGCTACATAAGTTGACGCTTGACCTCGTTCTTCCCGGGTTGGCCTGAAAGTTAAGCTCGGAAGGAGAATAAATCACTTGATTTCTTCAATCTCGGGCACTATAAACGTGTTCTTTAAGAAAAATAGGCCTGGCCTTGGACACACAACCTCTCTCTCTCTCTCTCTCTCTCTCTCTCGGGTAATTTTATTCTATTGAGAGTCGTCTATTGCTTAGTGACATTTTGGCTTTAGAAGTCGTTTACAGAAATTTTAGGCCAATTTGGCTTTGGAAGTCGAAACAGTTTTAGTTCTTGCTTCAGATTTCCACTGCTGTAAGTGGAGGATGGCATAAGACTCAGTCAAAATTAAGGGTAAGGACGTCAAATCGCCGGTATTCTGGTATTTTCTGTTTAGATATTGGCCTTTTTAATGACGCAATCTTAAAGGGCTTTCTGTCAAGGGGGAATTTATGAACCTAGCTGGCCTCAGATGGTATAATCAACAGGCAATATTTTAAATCCCCCCCTTGTCGAATTTAAAACTGCAGAGTCACCATTTCAAGAAACACATTTCCATGCGAACCTTTTTATGACGACAGCCCCAGAGGTCCCCTCCGTGGCCGTGGACGACGGAGGGTATAAATGCAAAAACATTTCTGGCAACGGTCATGACTCTTGAGGCGTGCGAGTCCATGGGGTTCCAATTTTTATATCTTACATTGTATCGAGATGTACATCACCTTCAGTGTTGGTCCCGTCACCTCACACGTGTAGTTTCCTTAGGTGGTCTTTCACGTGAGGATTACCTGGGCAAGCCCTATTATTACATCCTAGAGCCAGGTCCAGGTTCATGCATGACGTAAGGGCATGGGGGTGGGACAGGGTCTTCATTGTTTTGTTGACGATATATAAATGCCCGGGGCCCACCGCCGGGAGGTAGCGACGTGGATTGACACGCAAGCGCAGCCCTGGTCATGGCGTCGTGGGATGTCATTTGCTTAGGCATGGCCCCTGCATGATTTTGGCCCGTAAATTAGAATAAGGAGTGTTCGTTGGCATTAGGTGGTTAAATAATGTTGGAGCTTATGATGTGTTCCGGGTTGGGCATCTTTTCTGTGCTGATGAGGTGTTAGATGAGAAGTAATTAGTCCAAATTCTCTGAATGCGTGATAGTCCTATGATCAGTCAGGAATAGCGCTCTGTCTGTCTGTCTGTCTGTCTGTCTGTGTCTCTCTCGCTTTGTATCTATATCTCGTACCATTTCTTCCCATCTCTTTATCTCTCCTATTGTTCCCGTCCCCGTCTCTTACTCTCAGAGACAGGTTATCCTGGGCCTGTCGAGAACTTCACAAAGTCTCATGTGGACCCTTCACTTGTGCTTTTCGAGGCTCTTCGGAGTACGGTTCCTTAACACCAAAAAACTAGAGTTTTCCCGAAGGAGTCGCTGTTAGTCAGACAAGAGTTGCTTCTGATTCCTTGGGACAAAACAGCCTCTCCATGAGAGCAGGGCGGATCGCTCAGTGAGATTCCCACCGGGAAAGTTGTTCGATTATAGGATTTATATAGAGTGGTCCGCTCAGTCATGAACATGGGTCACGTTTCTGTTTCCCTAGAGGAAATATAATAGTTGATGGAGATATTAAAGCCTACAGTTTTGGCTGTCCATGCACGTACATCTCTCTTGATTTTCACAAACTGAGTTCAGATCTATAAATTTCCCCATGCATTAATGAGTACTTGTGGTCCTCAGATAACCCATCTGGACAACTGGTTCTGTAGCATTAGATATTGAGGGAGATCAGAGAAAAAAATGGGAGGAGAGAGGGAGGAAATAACTCGTCTACGTCTGCCACGAGATGGACGGCGTTGTAGGGCAGAGGAGACGCCGCCTCAGCAAAAGAACATGGAGGATCGGGCTGGGTCCGTTGAGGTGATTCAGAGGGTTCCAACTTCCAAAGCATAAATAGCTTGAGAGAGAGTGAGAGGGCGAAGGAGGAGAGATCAAGGCCATCTGGGAACAAACAATCGAGAGAGAGACTGGAGGCGAATCCACACTCCAAAATGGAAAAAATATAAATATATAAATATATAAATATATAAATATATATAGAAAGAGTCGAATTTCAAGTCAGGGCACTAAAGATAGTTAACTATCATAGAGTTTGACAGCAACTCAGTTACAGAGACAAACTTTTTTGACAAATTAGAAGAATAGCCGAAACGACTCAGTTAGACATTTAGAAAAGAGTGTAAAAATTCAAATAAAAATGTTATCAACGTTTCGACAAATTTATATTGGTACTAAGCCCAGTCCTTGACATCACATGATTCAAGCCTCTAAATCTTCAACAAACGATACATTACTAGCAACCTCAATAACTATGTTCTCGCTTCGCCAAGTTGGCCATTGCGTTATGGTTTAAATCTGTCTTAAAAAATAAGAGGAAAATTCTACTTTTCCGCACCGGAATTGTTTTTACTTCCAGGTGAAATTTTGGATTTTAGTCTCTTGCTATCATCCTCGTCGGAGTTCTAAGTGATAACCGTAGAGGGCACCACGCCCAGAGAGACCCATCGCTGATGTTGATTTGGTCAAAGAGGTTCTGGAATTCAGTGATCAAAATAAACAAAAACCAATTTCCTCCGTCATTGGTTTCCGAACCGAAACATAGAGATCAAATAGAAAACAAATAGATAACCGAGCCCGGAGATACTCCGCATGGCCCGGACTTGCCGTTAGCACAGAGAGAACACCGATCAATGATCTCTAAAGCAGACCTCTATGCAGTGAGGGCCTAGGCATCGCCTAACTAAGAGTGAGAACCAGAGCGAGCGAGCGGGGGAGAAATGAAGCCGTCTTATGAGTGATCTTACGACTATCACATGGAAAATTGCAACCCGTTGAAGCAACGGGTTTTATGCCGACCCTGCTTAAGCGCTAATCCGATCCATTTAAGAGCTTGAACAGACAAAAAAAGGGGCCAAGATGCCGGCTTGCTCAGTTCATTTTCTTACTTCTTAGACAGTTATCCTTCAACTGGCGTCAATCTCCAAAGACAAACCATAACCATCGAATAATCTTGCTTTTATTAAACCCATTGATCTCGCCCATTGTTAGGCCAATCCTCAGCCACGATGCGATGTCGCCTGCCTATAATTGTTATGCCGTGTAAACACAACCTCTCCGACACGTAAACAATCTAGCCACTGGCACATGAACTTGGTAATGTTGATGCAATCTTACCTCATGACAACAACTATAATAAGTCGCGACAATTAAATATCAAGTACGTATGGATAAAGAACTCCCGTATTATAATCACCCGAATTAAGGGGGAGCTTCTCCTCGACGGCGACTTAAAGAGTAGTTAATGCTGCCGCGTTTATCAGTAATTTTATAAACAACGACGAGCTGGTAAGGTTACAGATAATAGAATTTCATTTTGCTCAGGCTCCGGATTCCGACTCGGCCTGCAAAGCAGCCTGTCAAGAACGATATTCTATGGCGGTACCACGTGAGGGGGGCAATGGCCGTGAAGCAACCTTCGAGTTCGCCGAAGAAATGAGTCTACTGAGAGAGCCCTGTGTAGATCGAGGTTTCTTCTCCCGGAGAATCGACATCAGCGCCATGAAAAGATTAGTTAGCCACCAGGAGCTGGCTTGTCTACCGGTTGAGGCCGCTGTCAGAGTCCAGGGAAATGTTATCACGGTTCTTTGGAAATGGAGTTGCCGATTTGTACCTTCCTTTCAAAGCATCAAGCCAGCTTAGATGTTACTAAATTTCTGGTCGTGCCGCCATGGAGGGTAGGGATAGAAAGATAGATAGATAGATAGATAGATAGATAGATAGAGAGAGAGAGAGAGAGAGAGAGAGAGTGGGGTGGGGGTAATTAAGCGAACTACTTTCTTGAAACCAATTCGAGTCAAGACATGAGGCGAGATCAAGAATTTCACCGCGCCAACCGCCCCGAGGTCGGGTTTCCTGACAGGGTCACAAGCCTGTTGGATGCGTCCCCACATCTTTCCTTCGCGAACTGCCTTCCTTCGTCCCCTTGCGCATAGAAATAACTCGCCACGAAAGTCAGCGTTCAACGTGAGAGAGAGAGATATACGAAAAAAGAAATGGTACACTGATCTTTCTTGCTGGCCTCATCCACATCTCAGTCGCCCAAATATGAAAACTCCTTCTGTTTACTTTTAAGTATCTATGATCTTCTCGGCAATAGAGAGGAGAGAGGAGAGAGGAGAGAGGAAGAGAGGAGGGGGAGAAAGTAAAGGAAAGAGCGGGTGTCAGCTTCTTGCCATTTCTCGTACTCCACAAGCGTCAAGAGTAGCGAAGATCCCTAGATTGCTTGTAGAATTCCTAGTGGCTGCTTGTTCTGAGGCTACGGATGCAGAAACCCTAGATATCTCTTCCGCTTTATCTTCTTGCTTCTGCCGGAATTCCTTTCGAGGGAGATGTGCAGCTACTTCTCAGAAAGGGTGGGAGGCGAGCAGGGAGATCTCGCTGATATTGTCCGTGCCAGCGGCTGTGGGAAGGCACTTGGCCAGACCCACCAGGTAATTCCCATCGAGTGGCAACTCTCAATGGAGACGATTAATTTCTCGCCGTCAATGGAAAGTTCCGCCGATGACCGTAGCAACACAATCTGCGATTTCGTTGGAACCACGTTCTTCGACGGTCCAGAGACTGCCGGTGGGGTTGTTAAGGTCGGCATGGGGAACGATGAAGGTGCCGCCACCGCCATGCAGAGGGCCCTCAGCGGCGGGAACGATATAAGGAGACCTGGAGACGACTTCTCAAGAGTTCTTCAGATGTCACCGAGCGAAATTAAGCCTCAGCTCCTCGTCGCTGATAGGATGAAGGCAAACGGCGGCTCCCGGAGTTGTCCCCTTGACCAGGAAAGATCACGGATTTCATCACCTCAAGTTCTTGGCACCAAGAAAAGGTCAGTATATAGTTCTGAATTTGTCCTCACCCAATTTTCATGAGAAATTCTGGGAAACTGGCTTATTCGAATAATAAGAACAAGAACATCGATTATAACGACAGTAATAGTATGCACAATCGTCATTCTTTTGTCCTTCCGCAAATATAACCATGATAACCTCTCTCCCTTCTCCTGGATACAGAAACGTTAGATCTTACCAAAGGTGCCATATGACGATAGTTGAGATCTTAGCTATCTTGCTTTTTTCTCTCCTCCGAAGGCAGAGTCTTCTTTGGGACTGCCCGTTTACCTTGGCCTAGCCTTCATGGCAATGGCACCTTGACAGTTTTAAAGCAAAGTCTAATAGGATATAAAACGGTTTCTAGGAGTGTGTTAAGGTTTTGTAGGTCCAGTATTCTTCAAGTCGATCTCGTAGATTCTATAACTGTAATTTGAGCTAGCATACCTACGCATCGTCCGCCGCGATAGTGTCATAATCAAATCCAGGAGAAGGTCACATACCTACGCATCGTCCGCCGCGATACGGTTGAAATTCAATCAATCATCAGCCTCTTTGGCTCCCTAACTCACCGATACCATGCTTCTAATGGATACCTTGTTGACAGTAAGCTTGATTTTGTATCGAACCATGTCTCTCGGAGAAGTTTTCACGACTCTCTCCTCGAGTTCGGTTGAGTCCTGGTGCGGAACTCTTTAAAGAGATAAATTATTCCTCTTCTTATTTAAGCTATTTCGGTGGGTGAGAGAAGGCTGGTAACTCACAAGTTGAGTAGGAATCCGCCGAAAAATGCACAGAAGAGAGAGGACAGCTGATTCTACCTTATCTGACGTCTCCCTACGTTCTATTCAGAAAACCCCTGAGTAAGAAGGTGGTCTGCATTGCGGCACCACCGGCAGGTGGCGGTCGGCCAGGCGGAGAGGTTGTTCCATCCGACCTATGGGCTTGGAGGAAGTATGGCCAGAAGCCCATCAAAGGATCACCATATCCGAGGTAAAAATCTTTCCTTTCTTCGTTCCTTTCTCAACTGTACAGTAGCTTTGATATTATTTCATGGAAAGAGGAATACAACGAAGAAACGGAACTCGGGTTTGATGCTACTCCATAGTTCTAAGTGGGGAACTTCTATAATTGAGTGAGGGAGGATGAACTTAAATGTATGGTGCTTCGGTGTCTCTTCCTTGTACCTTCTACGGTGCATTTTTACCTGGCACAAACAGTGGACTCTTTCCCGTAATCAATCCAGACCTTGATTATACTAAAGATGCACGGGAGTGTTAGAGAGAATGGAAAAAACTCCTAGTCTCAGTTCCATCCCTAGACTCCTTTCATGTGGAAACTGATCTTCTTAATTTGTTGACCTGCCTTGGCCTTCCGTGAAAGAATCTTGTCGCCATTTAGTTGATTACGAGAGAGTTGGCTGAAGGTTGTCAGACTGGGGGAGAGAGACGGGGAGAAGTTAGACTGCCGTCCAAAATTATCATCTATACCTCGGGAATCTCCAACCTTGAGATCAGCTCTTAATCAAGAAATTTCTGTTCACTGGTGTGCAGGGGTTACTACAGGTGCAGCAGCTCCAAGGGTTGCTCGGCAAGGAAACAGGTCGAACGTAGCCGGACGGACCCCAATATGCTGGTCATCACCTACACATCAGACCACAACCATCCGTGGCCGACCCAGAGGAACTCTCTCGCCGGTTCCACAAGGTCTCGACCAACCAAGAACGGTTCCTCAGCTACGAAGAGCTCCCCAAGCGACCGGAACCCCCCGCTGCCAGAGGTGGCCAGCCATCCTTCCGTGAAAGAAGAGGAGGCGAGGGAGATGAAGAAAACTGTTGACAACACCGAGAAACGAGAGCTAAACCTAGTATTCGAACCGAATTGCAAGGTCCTGATGAACAGTTCTAGCCAGCCGGATGATTTCTTTGCAGATCTCAGTGAGCTGGATGCTAGTGATCCTCTCGGCCTAGCTTTCGCCTCGAAGGCATTAATTGGAGTTGAGAGAGAGAACAAGGACTCCTTGGCCATATTCGACTGGGTGGCAAACTCATCTACTGAAACCAAGAAAAGGGGACCTTAGAAAGACCATGGTGACGCCAGGAACATATTAGGAAACCATCTCAATTATTTTCTCCTTGTTTATTGTTGTTGGTGCAGTATCAGTCTTCGTCTCGCTCTAAACCTCGCTTCCTGCTTTTAGACTGAGATATTGATCGGGGAAGTATATCATCCCTCTTTCTCACTTCAGTTTTCTAGTTGTTTATTGGAGTCCGACACCGTGGAGACAATGACGATGGGGACGCAGCTTGATTGGGGAAAAACATTTCCAGACCCACAACTTTGGAAAACTGGTGGATGGAACAGAAAGCTGAGGAAACAGAGGTTTTCGACTGTTCAGAATAAGCAATGCTTGATTTGACAGGAAAAGCGATGGGTGTAATTGTCTCTCCCTATATGTATAAAACTTATTCCCCTTTCTCTCCGACTCTCATTATCTCCTTTCCATCTCAATGATTGGGTTGGACAAGTCAGAGAGGTATGCGCGGACAAGCGTCTTCTGATAAAACCCCCTACGATTCTAAAAACTCATAGGGGAACATGGAACATATCCATCACTCTCTCTCTCTCTCCTTCTCTCTCTCTCTCTTATATACTTATCTAATCCTGCGGGGAGATTAATGAAGTGCAAATAAGATTACAATGTGGGAAGAAAACTTGTCACTTTTGCCAATCGTTGATTCATATAACCTCGGAGGTTGGGTTCAGAAAGTTGTTCGAGAAATATATAAAGATTCCTCCAAGTTGGTCAAGGTGAATAGGGAGAACTCCCACAGAACCATATTGTGAAAACGTGCATCTCCTCTCTCCGCTGACCACTCTCCATCTTAGGAGAAAGAAAACGGAGCGCTGTAGCCACTGGATTGAGAAATAATGGATTTCTTAGCCGGTAGTGGGTTTCAGACATTCTTCCGAGGGTGCACGTACCAATCATTCCGGGGACGAAGGCGATGGCAGGGTAGGTGTCGGCAGCTTGCAATTCCATGAAGAGGAAGAAACCACGGCGAGGGGAGAAGCTAGTCTGCAAGAAACTTCATCTCTCTAGAAAAGCTCTTTCGAGTAACCTCACAGTGATGATGGGTACTAGAATTGCATGCTCATTGATCTATCAAAACAAATAGGACCATTGACTTAATGAAGTTGTCCAAACGCTTAGAACCCCTTAGATTGGTCCCCAGTGAAGGGTCCAACCTGGGCATCTCGTCCATTCAAATCCCCGTAGGCATACTAGTGTTGTAGCTGGGGGACTGACGAGGCGGTGAGACTACAATTGGGCCCTCAACCTCACTGTTGGGCCGACACGACGATATATTACCCACTAATCCATTCGTAATGGGAGGAATCGGAAATGGGCCCAAGCCCGGGGGACAACAGTACATTAGAAGCACATATTCCGGACCAGGCATTGACTTTGGCATCGTGAGATAATTGTCTGAAGACTTGGAGAAGAATTTTTGTTAATTTCGGTAGCTGTGGCCGGATTCAGTCAGCCCATGTTTTATTCTGATGCAAATATCACCAAGACAATTCCCCGCAGTTGTGAAGTTTCCTTAAAGAGTATAAATTTCCATGAACACAGATGTTCATACCACTTCACAGTTGAGCAATTTGAGCCATTTATTTAGTCACCATTATACAGATTCCAGCCATTTGGAAATGTTGCAAGGGAAAACATGTTGCAGCTTCATCCATCCGCGCAGCATCTCTAGACCTGTCAGCATTCAATTCTTCTGATCATAATCTTCATATGATTATGCACGAAATAACAATCTCCCCCTTGGCTCATCAATGAATCATACGTTGTAGAAGAGGGCCTGCAGATTTTGACTTGTGAACCAAGAGGATTTTGGAAGCACACGGCTCTTCCCATGGCTCTCTCAGGGATGGATCTCTATCTGTCTGACTTAATTCCACGTGGGCATCCTTGGAGGCATGACTAAGATGAGGGTACTGTGTACACATACACCGTTGACTTGTTGGTGAACTCCTGTAGTTCCACCGGGCTGAGCAATGAACAAGACAGGAAACGGCGTCAATCATGTTGCTGCCGGAGACGGCCTTCCGGTGAGAATAGCAGGAGGTGGTGTCCGACCCGATTGAATCAAGTGATGATAAGTTACGTCCACTAATCGCACCTGAGCAATGCCATTGAAACACAAGAAAAGATCAACAGCGTGAGTATCTCTACATGGAAAGGCTTCAAGATTGCAGTATTTCTATCCAATCTCTGCTCATTTGAGAACAGTCATAAACACACAAGTTGAGACAACCACCAAATTTAATGATCACCACCTGTTTGCTTCTTTTACTCAAAAAAATCATGGAGAAAGGCATCTTTTTGAGATATTATGGAAGTTTGTAGAGATCAATGATACCTTTCCTGCTCTTGAGGCATCCATGACCATCCGCAGGTGCCGCCTTGCATTGAAATGGTGCTCATACTCCAGCATTTTCTCATACACATACTCGAAATCATCCCAATTTTCAGTATTCGCGCATGCCTCCAGCATGGTGTTGAATGTAAATCTGTCTGGGATGACCTTCCCTCGCAGGTCAGATTTTTTGCATATTAACTTATTTCCCTCCAAGATCATCTTGAACAAGTTCTTCGCTTCTTGAAACATCCCTCGCTCCACATAAGACTTCAACATTATGTTGCAGGTCACAACATTCGGCGTGCAAAAGTTGTGCATCTGATTGAAGACGTATGTGGCATTTTCGATGCTCCCAGAGTCCAGACAGGCCTGAATCAAACCGGTGTATGTCACAACCAGAGGCTTCTGGGCAACCTTGCACAGTTTGTCAATCTGAGGGTGGAAAAAGGTCATCCATAATTAGCTTGAGACTTCCCCAAATATAGAAATGTAAATAAAATTCTATAACTCATTCATGAAATGGGTTCACGAAATGGGTTCGATTAAATAAATCGGATGGGGACGAGAACCAACCAGTTGAAGGGCTTCTTGGCATCTCCCTGCACTGCAGAGGCAACGAGCGAGATCGTAGTACAAACTGGCTGAGCCCACTATTCCCCGTCTTTCCATATCTTTAACTGCTAAGACAGCTTCATCCACTTTTCCTTCTCTCCAAAAGGTGTTCACCAGAACTGCAGATTAAATGCACCACCGTATTTAATACAGGAGAAATGTGCTCCAAGGAGAAAACTTGCTTGGGGTCACTGATATATACCTTTATAGTTCAGAGCACCAGGAACAGAGCTCTTCTGAACTTTCTTAAAAAACTCATGCACCAAGTTGTACCGGCCACATACAAGCATTACCTGAACGGCAAAATCTTTTCAAGTCAACCAGCTTCAATAGCAATAATAGTTTGAAATAAAATAGGTAGTCTTACAGTTCAAGCCAATAAATTAGTCTAAAAAAAGGATACCACAAAGATCAAGATGGAAAACTAGGAACGATTAGAGTAGTGCTCGCGCTAACTTTTCAAATCTTCACTTGATCTATAGAACGTACACCCTTTCTGTGATGTGGAGACATGGCTGTGAGCTATGAAGCCTCTGTAGATTTTTATACAAAATTTGGCCCTACTGGCTTACAATGTACCAAAAAAATTATATATAAACAGAATCAAGGTAGTAACAGATAAAGTTGACCCACCAAACTCAAGCCATCCAGAACGCAGTAAATATGTATGAAAGTTGTTCTTCTATATGGACACGAAAAACAAAACAGTTATCAACCTGAGTTGTTTTATAGTTGAATTTCGGCTATAGTATTGGATGATGAAGATAAAAAACCATAGAGAGAGAGAGAAAAACGGACGGAGGGATATAGTGCCTGTATATTCATGGAGAAGTAGACCAAAGATGATTCCAATTCATTTCAAAAAAACCAAACGATGTGTTGATGGCATCAACCAAAACCAAATGATGGGTAAATTTCAAGGATTCGTAGCTACAAAAAGTAATCAAGTAGACTATCCTGGGATATTGCCGACAATGACCCTCCATGGTCAAAGATTTTCTTGTTAGTCCGTGTTTATCTATACTTGTTGGGTTTGGAAGACAAGTATAGCTAAATTTATGTTGACTGCCATCTAGAGCATATTCGACTCAGCCCACTGGATTATCCGGATGTAATACTAGCCAACCCAAACTTTCATTAGTTCTTCACTGACAAAAAAGAAAAGAAACTCTGATCAAGAAGTCATGGAAATGTAAAGAATCAGAGTCTTATCTGGAAAAAAGACACAGAAGGACAGATGGTAAATGACATTATCTGTTTGCCTCGTCTAATGTTACCTAACGTGGGCTAACATGGGGTTGTTGTCGTTCCAACTAGTCAAAAGGGAACTAGTCAGGGTATAGAGCGAGAGAGAGAGAGAGAGAGAGAGAGAGAGAGACAGCATAAGTACACTTGATCAAATGAAAGAGAGAAACCTAATTCACAGCCGCAACCTTAGTAACACATACGGTATTGATTATACCCAATTGTTCCCATTCAAGAGCTATATCAATGGGACCATTCATTATACACAGAAGGATCTTTCTCAATCCCTGTGTCTCACCTCCATATAAGCAATAAATAAGGTTCAGTGAAAAAGGTAAAAATAGAACCATTCGGTAACATCATAAAATATTCCCAGATTAATTTATGCAGGTAGGAGGGTGCTAATTTAATCCATTTTAGATTCTCAATGAGGACATTAAAATACACAGACATTTGATAATAAATGCCAAATTAATAACAACAGTCAATAGTCACATTTCTACCGTCAAACTGTAGAGTAAAAGAACATAAACCCAAAAGAAGTTAATGTAAGGTTAATGATAAAAATATCAAAACTTGTCTAGAGATGAAATATACCTCCATGGCAAGTCCATATGTCGTGTTTGTAGGCTTTATTCCCCTCACTTTTAATTCTTGAAGTACCCAAAATGCTCCCTCCCATTGCTTTTGCTGAACGCAAGCATTCAGCACCTAGAATTACAAACAAAAGAATTTGAAGTGAAGCATTAAGATTTCATTAAGAATCAAGTTCCATATAGCTGATGTCAACAAACAGACCGACAACAGCCTAATCTTAAGAGAGTGTTTTGAAAGCATAAATTACTCACAGCATTGAACACAACAAGGTCAGGTTCCAACCGGGGATCCCACTTTTGGAGCATTCCTAGCCTGAACTTCTTTTCGGGGATAGATCTCATGCAATCAATGACGTCAAAAAGCTCCTTCATCATACCCGCTTGTCCAAGAATTACAGCAATACAATGGTAAGCCGCAAGGTCTGGGTATGATGATAACTCTTTCTGCATAAAATAGATATTTAATTACCATGTTTACTAAAGTGAATAATACACTAATTCTAATGAAAGTTCGTTACCCGCATGGAGTAGAACACATTTAGTGCCTCCACAGGTCTCTTCGCCTTCCCAAGCACACTGAGTACGGTAGTGTAAATATATCTACACAGTAAAAGAGGAAGATATCATAAATCTTGTTTCGTAAAATTTCGCATATTTAACTATTCTAACCCATTAGAAAGGCCCACAAACTTAAAAATAAAATTCAAATCAAAGAATGGGACAGGAAACACTGATATCAAATGGCACTCCGTGGAACCATACAGCAGAAAGAGAGGAAACAATTCCAAACTTCTTCATCAATTACATAAATGACTTAAACGTAAAGCATTAGAATTTACCTGCTCTTATAGGACTCAAAGGGCTGTCGCAATTGAAGCCATTCAACAACTTGCAAGACCCGTCTCCAATTTCCATGGGTCCCCAATATCTGTACCACTCTCAGTATGGAATGATCTGTGAATTTAATTTTTGCACTATACATCATCCTAGAAAACCTCCACTCTGGCATGTTTACATCCGTAGCATTCAACCTACAAAAGAAAATTCTTTCAACGTACGCACCCAAGCAAGTTTTTCAGAGCAGAGAAATGAAAACATTCATACAAATATCTTTTGACAGGGAGGATCAGAAACTGCCAAGCAGTTGAAACATGTTTAAGAGAAATCTTCAGTAAAATTAGAAAATCTTTTAATGAAGGAGAATATTATATTTCCATGAAATTTGATTTCCTGGATTTCAATTAATCAGTTTAATTTGAACATTCTATTTATGATTAGAATAATTATAGATGCATCCAGCATAGGCACTGTGGCCCTAACTCCTAGTACTAAATGTATTAGCTAGTCAAATAAAACTGGTCTCAAATGTAAACCGATTCATGAGATAATCAAAAGTACAGAAAAAATAACTTTCAACTACAAATATTCTGTTTACAATTTGGGTAACTTAAGATTCAATAAAAATGATAAATATAAAACCTTCTCTTGAGTTAATGATGAGAAGAATGATGCGACCTAATGGCTACTAATTAAATGTTGCAGTGGCATAATCCGAATCCAGACACCAATTAAGCCTGATGGGCAGAAGATAAATTATTTGTAGCATTTTCTTTGCCAAACGGAACTTCTGCATAATCATAGGCATCAATGTGAGGTGATGAGAGCACTTTTGCTCCAGCAGGAGTTACAGCATGAGGTCCAGGTGCTTTTCCCACAGTTATTCTTTGAAATAAAGGGGCAATGCCAAAGAATAATTTTCAGAAGCAAAATTTTACCAGACTCGGCAGAAGCTTCTTAGTGCTGATACCCACCAAATCAGATGCAGAGAGGGAACAGCAGAGATGCTCTCCAGATTATTTCTGGTTATTTTTAAGTTGAATCTTCGTCTATGCTCATGCCTTTTATTGAGAACCTCCTCAACTTTATCGTCCTATATGTCTAAATCCAAGCCACAGGTCAACTTGAAGAAATCAACGTGCTTATTTTGCACATTCTTCTCAAAGGAAGCACTGACTAGTTTGTTTAATAGAACTAATCATGGAAACAAGTGAGAAGATAAAATTCCAAAAAGCTGATTATAGGATTAAAAAAAACATTAAGAAATCAACAAACTGTCGGTTGCCACAACATAAAGAAATAAAAGAATACACGATTTTTTTCCTCTGAAGAAGGATTGGGGATAATTACCACTTTGCGAGATCCTGAATCCTCTGTTCCAACTCCATTCGCAAGACTCGTGGCCTATTCCTGACATCAGTGAATACCTCAAACGTTTTGAAGGCAGTCCTGTCATCCACATCATCATCACTGATATGCCCCCTACCATCAATCTTGGAAACCTTGGAATGGGTGTGCCCTTGGTCTCTGATTTCCTCATTGGTATTATTCAGGGCAATACGACCATTCCACTTTGGTGAATCCCTCATGTTTGCTGATCCCACAGCAAGAACACCAGGAGGACCAGCCAGCTGCAATTCTTTGCTTCTTTCATACGTTCTTCTTGGTGAGTTATCTCTGCCAGAATGGTCTTTCAATTGGGTAAAATACTGCCTCTCGTCCTTCTGAGCACCAGTTCTCTCTTCCCCTGGTCTTGGCCTCCCCAACGATCCATTTCCACCATGTCTCCCCTTCTGCTTGGGATCCTTCTCCCTGCTAGAAACATCATCTTGAGCACTCAGTCGTCTTTTCTCCAAATGCTTGTTATTTTGACCTCCTATATTAGAACTACGCAGACCACTACTTCCTGACCGACTATCACTACCTCCACTTCTCGCCGCACCCATCCGACCCGTACGCTTCTCCAAAAGAACTTCCCGGCCATCTTCTCTACTCATGCCCGTACCAGTCCTGTGAAAATTATCAGACCGCACATTAGCTGCACCCATATGTCCCTTTGGAGAAGTAAGCCGTCGGCTATCCAGATAATTTTGCCGTCTTCTATCAGGAGAAGCACCATTTGAGCTCCGAAAACTCTCCCTAGGACCCACCAATTGCCTACTATCTCTGTTCCTCGCCTCCCTTGGACCATCCTCTCCCCGCGATCTCCATTTCGAGTCAGAAAGGTCATCATCGGAATCCCCACTCACGTTCTTGCTCCTGTCAGTCTGGATGGACTCTAAAACCTTCACATAATCACCAAATGCGGGAGTAAATCTTACCTCCTTCTCAAGAACCGTTTCGGAGATTGAACGCTCACCGGCGCCTCCGGTGGCGGTGGTCACCCCACGATGAGCAGTCAAAGATCCTACACTACGGTCTTCGTTCAGAAACCTCACTTTCAGAACGACACCGAAGATAGGTCTGCGGGAAACGGGAGACCTGCGAGCAGAGAAGACACCCGGGCAAGGAACAACGCAGGGGAACGCATTCCTCTCAAGGCTGAGGATAGTCATCTGAGAATTCAACCCTGCCATCTCCCCATCCGCTCATTTCTTGGCCAGGGCCTTCATCATCAATCCACGAAATATCCCTCCCACTGCGCGTGAAATTTCTAGAAAAAACCGAGAACTTGGGAAGAACAAACGCATCGCCCAAACCGAAGCCTGAGAAGAAAATCCTCGCGATGGAGAGAGAGCACAGGAACCGAGAAGCCCGAAAAAAATCTGTGACAGGAGCAGAAGCTAGCATCCGATGCGAGAGACTACTAGAAGGTCCTCAAGTCTGCGTCTCACTCTCCTCTGCTAAACCCGCGTTTCTTGTCTGCGGATAACAGCGAAACTGGCTGCGAGTTTCCGCACATATCTTTCCCAATAAAACCAAATTTTAATTTATAGTGTAGGTTACAAGGACCTCCTACCATGCATGCATTAATTAGAGAGGTTTCTCTCTTTTTTTTTTTAAAGTTAGTGAGGCAAGGAAGACAAAGTAAAATTCTGATGCAGAAAAATAAAGCAAAAAAAAAATCACAAAACAAAGAGGTCATTTAAGTAGCAAGCAATGAATTTCAACTATAAGATTAAATCGGTGAAGAAAATATTGAAAGAAAAATCTGCTAGGGAGTTTTCACCAAGTTCTTGTCTTCACTTCTCTTTGAGAGTAATATTTCTCCCGTTTCTGAATAACTTACTTTACATTTTTTTTTACCTAAGTATCCAAAATTAGCAACCAAGTAAGTAAGTGAGAGCATAACATCGACACCATATATAATAAATAACCCCCAGCAATAGTGCTAAAAATTTGGTGTCCTATGATCATTGTTGGCAAAAAACTTCAAATCTCAATATTTATGATTGTATTTAAAAGAGGAAATCAAACTTAAAATTTGGTGAACTTAGGATGATCACGTGGATGATTTCCAATACTATTGTGTTAATTTATGATCTTAAATTTTATTGAATTGAAGGTAACATAGAAATTAGAATAAAAACTATTATCTGCCTTCAACAATCATCCATGTCAAGATGTATATTTGCAAGTCATGCTGAATCCTTCTATTACTCCACCATGAATTGTAAGTTCCTTCTTTTAATAATAGATGTTCTACTACAAAAAAATTGATTCACATGAGATTCAATTGGTTGATGGTTGCAAGATGTAAAGAAGAATCGTAAAAGTGAAAGAAAATCATGCCACTAAGAGTGTGTTACAGAAGGCAGAAAAGAAGAGAGAACTTGAATCAAACTCTATTTATTCTCTTGTAAAAACTACAAAAAATATTGACTTCCTAAAAACCTTCTATCAACTGAAGCAAACACATTTCTAACTGAAAATTCTTACATGAAATAAATCATAAAGCTATTACTGCATGTCACTCAAAGATAGATGAGAAAGAAATGAACTAAGGACAGAAATTAAAGTAATGAAAATATAGGAAAGAAGGAAAGCCTAGACAAGAGGATTAATGAGAGAGAGAGGGGGGGGGGGGTGGAAATGATCCCCTTCTCTTCTTACCTCCTAACTACTATTGCTAATCTTCAGTCAGATAGAAAGCTGAGGTAGCATTCATCAAGTTTCCATGCACTTACCTATGTGCTGACATACCTTAGAAAATGTACCTTGGATGACGTGGGTTTCTATGATAGGTGACATCTTTTGTTCACAAAAATTTCACAAAATAATGTCCTTTGGATTATATTGAATTATCACTTAAGTAACATATTCTTAACTCATAAAATAAAAAAATTCAAAGTTATCCACCTAGGACATTTATGTTGGAACGTAAATTAGAACATCAAGCAGAAATTTCTCAAAAATAGTATGAATATTTCAGTTGAAATTTATGAAATTAATTATAGAATCTTTTTTTAATATTTTCATTGAATTTTATTACATTTGGCATTAGTTAATGCAACGTTATGATCATTTTCATACAAGGATAACACATTAACAATGCTTTCATTGTTAGACAATTTTCTTAGATTTTGTATGTCCAACAATCTAAAATTAGTTTCAATAGTCAATTAGAGTCATTTCAAGAACTCCTTGAAAGTTGATGAGTTTGGATGTAATATAGAACTACTTTTTTGTCTTTAATTTTGTACCACTAAAATGTTGGATGGTGGTAGGAGGAATCAAGAGGGGATTTGACATATAATGATATATAATATTTTTCTAATCTTTTTGAATCGTCATACACATGATTTATTGCAATTCAATATGATTGACCCACTTGACTCCGAAGACTACAGCTTTAGTTTACAATAATTACCAAGCTTTTATACTAAAATACAAAGGCTTCACATAGCCTTCACTAAACCTCACAACTCTAATCAGCTTAATTATCCTAAGGCATGTTAGCTTGACATTTCAAAAGTTTTAGTTTTCTTTGTTGATGGTGTAGAAGCAACTATAGTTGATGATGTCTATTTTTCTATTAGTTTAGTTTTTATTTTGTGCCTTGAATGATTTTTCCTTGTTCTATGATTTCAGTCATATGATAATATAGCTCTATGCTTTGAAATTATTCATAATCTGATCTATGAATTTTTTTCATTGTTAGAACTATTTAGACTTCTGACTTAAGCATAATATTAGATATTGGTTTAATTTTAGTAAAGTTATTACTTTAATTTTGCATACATTTTATGCAAACTAGGTTGGCTCCAAAAGAATTATTGACTACGTAGTATTCCATATGCGTAACACAAATGAATCATCTTTAAAAATTGGGTAGACATTCAAGGTACTTTTATTTTTATTTCTAAAGGAGTTTGTATACTAATTTTTGAGACATGTGAATCAAATGAAAATGACATGTGGCATGTGATATCTTTTAGTTCCATGCAATTCACAGGGGTTTCTTAGATTTGGTATGGGTCACAATAGGCAGCCAATTATGCTGTCACATCATATTAATTTAGATAATTGTTGTACAAACAGCTAGATTCCCATGATTGTTGGTTAAAACTCATTCATTGCATAGAAAATACCTTAAGAAAAATGATAAATGGTTAGGCCAACTAGAGTCACATAACATAGGATTCTGTACTTTTTAATTATTTTCTATTTGTTATTGACTCAAGATTCCAATGTTCTCATATTGGTCTTCTCGAACTCTATTTTCTTGGTTGTATTAATTATTACTACCTTTTTTTAGGGCAAGATCGTCCATATTAATTATCTATGTGATATTTTGGATGAATGTTGGTGCCATAAGTATTTTTTCAAAAGCTAATTATAAGAGATATGTGATGCAATAACTAGTGTCAAAATTTAAAGATTATGAATTTGTTATAAATTTTACAGATTGACAAACGTATTTAACATTTAAATTCCAAGTGACCAGAATATAACTATTTTCTAATAGCTGTAATGACCATTGGTTGAGCATTTATGCCAAGTATAAAAGGGAAATTTCAGATCAGATTAGGATTTGAGATGAAAAAAGGAAAAATCACAAAGAGAGTACTTGCATGATAACCTTGTTTCTCTTTGGAGTTCAAGCCTTCAATATACATCATTAAGCACAAAACAAGAGAAAGGAAATCAGTTGTATTTAGGCTTTAAACAATCTTACATCAGACACTTCCTCAAGTTAGTGAAAGGTTTCACATGAAAGAAGGTGTAGGGTAAAAGTGTTCTTAACATTATTCTAGATTTGTTGAAACCTCACCACTCAGCACATAAGCTTGCTAAAGTTTAGATATTCAATGGTTACTCACTTGAACCATAAGATCCAAAACATGGGCTTGGTGATGCCTGAATATTTAGAATTCGTTCCTAGTGCCATAGAATAAAAAACGTAGGCACACTAAGGCCATGATATTCAATGTAGGCCCATTAAAGCTGTTGAGTCAATGTGTTTTACTCTCTAAGGACCTTTTCTTTAGAGTGGAATATGTATGATTGAATAAAACAGTATAAATTATTATCTAAATCTTTATTGTCCTTCTCCAATGTCTAAGAAGAAAAAATATGAGAAAGCTTAATTCACCCTCCTCTAGGACTATATAGTACTGCCAAAGCTAGCCAACCATATTTCTTGGCATTATCATCAAATGATTATTCTCTAGGAAGATAATCAATGACTTGTTTATAAGGGTAAAATATTCATAAAAAAGGGTCAATAGAAAAAAAATGGCTGATGATAAAATAAATTCATAATGTGAGTGTGTCTTTTCCAACACTCATGTCTAACCTAATTGTCAGCAAAAATCCCAAAAATGGTCTTTGTGCTAGATTTGTAATTGATAGGAGTTAACTCATGACAAGGAAATATGTATGGAAATCAAGTAGTCACAATAAAATCAAGACCTAGTGAAGTGTGTGGCGAGTAAACAAGGGTATCTTTTTCCCAAAATGAGATTGATAATGCTTTATTTTTTAAAATAATTAAGTTAAAATAATAGTATTTGTTGCATGAATCAATGTAAGGTGTGAATTATTTAATTTTAAAACATTATTACTGGTTTGAGAATGATGTGATAAATTTATGTTTAATTTGGTAATTTTTCTGATTTATGTGATATGAATATATTTCTAATTTTTAATTTACGTGTAATTATGATTATCTAAACTTTATATTCTTGATCATTATTTTAAAATTGATATAAAATTACTCATGAAGTGAAAATTTTAAAAATAGATTTATTTTAGATTATTTAGGGAAATTACGAAGACATTGTTCAACTATTTTTTTAGTAATTTAGAAATTATCAAAATAATGAGAACGAAATACACCAATTCACTGACACATCACAAAGAGGATGTGTCAAGGGTTTATGGGCAAAGTTTGCATTTTGGGCTATGTCAACATGTTATGCCATGTCATTGATGTACAAGTTATTTTTCATGCTCTATTTTTGGGCGGTGAAATGGACAAAAATAATTCTAAATTTCACAATGATTACTGAGATTTTATTTCATGAAAATTGGAAGGAAGTTTGAGGGCAAAGGAAGAAAGTTTTATATTGGAGAAATTAGGAAGCTTTCCAAGCTGTGTTCTCTTAAGGTGATAGGCAAAGATGAGCGGAGC